TCCCTCCCAAAACACTAGTACCAGTAGCACCAACACTAGCGTCACTAACAGTAGGAGTAGTCTGAATAGTGGTCTCAGATGATGGAGATGAACACTTCAATTTGAAAACCTCAAACATATCAGTCTTTCTACAGTTACTTCCTTTATCAAAGCCCCTCCTTTCGACTTCCATACATAGCATCCAACATCCAAGATAGATATGCAAGTTTACACCTAGGATCTAGCACACATGCCATTGTAACACTCCGACGTTTGAGTTTGGGTTCCACCTTCATACGTGATCGGTTGGGTTGACAGCTGCGTACTAAAAGTTGCAATCGCAGATTAGTAATAATACTAATAATAATAACTATTATCATTATAAAAAATAATATATATACAGATCTGGGGGCCGAGCGACCCTCAATTAAATTCCCCAAACCCTCTCCCATTTAATCTCTCCAGATAACAAACTTCCGCCGCCAACACTCGCCTCAGCGCGAGGGGGGGAAAAAAGTAGCAGAGCCGCTCACAGCCGATCCCCATCCCGACCCCATCCCTTTCGTGTTTCTAGGTAAGGATCAAGAACCCCTTCGCGATTTCTAAACTCAACTCATCGATAGTCTAATCCGAAGCTCGTATTTTATTAGCGGTCACGTTTGAGGGTTCGATCAACAAGGTGATCAACGTCCCGGGTCATCCAACCTAGGCCTAGGCACGTTCTAGAGGTAAGAGAACTCGATCCCTTTGAGTTAGGTCGATTAATTTGGGGATTTTTCGTGAGGGTGCAATTCTGAGTTTTTAGCAACAGACGTTACAGGCTTAGTTTAGATGTTTTGAATTGTTTCAAGCCTCTATGGATGTTTTTCCTGGGTTTAATAATTTATAATTGAGGGAGGTATACGAGATGTCTGTGATTTAATTTGGAAATATTTGAAGATGTATTTCTATTTTTAGAAATTGTTCAAATATTTTTTTAATTAAATAAAAATATCTCCGAGGGGTTTTTGAGGGTTTGATAATTTTCCAGTGTATAGGTACTCATGAGTGATGTAGAAAAATTATTATCCAAATTTTTAAGAAGGTTCAAGTTAGGTGAAAAATCGTCCAAGACAAAAATAATTAGGAAAAATGGTCAGTTTTGAAGGGATTATTTTTAGAAATTTTTTAAAAGGGGTTAGGTGACCTTTGGAGTGAGGTTTGAGGATGAGACTTTGAGGAGAGGGTTTCTGGGTAGATAGAAAGGGGTTTTAAATCGAGAAAAGTCGTCTTAGAATATGAATTTCTTATTAATAGGTTTCCTGGAATAATCCACCTAAGGAGGGAAAGAAGGAGAGAACGTTAGCTGCCGATCAAACGTGGTAGTCTCTAGTGATGAAGAGGTTCACGCCGGTTAGTAGGAGAGTAAGAGTCGTGTCTAACGGAGGCGGGAGGAAGGCCGAGAACTTGGCAACGACGATCGCGACTGGCGGGGGTAGAGCGATGGAGAGGCCCCGACCCTATCCTCCTAGACGACCCGGGGTGTCGGGAGTTCGAAGTTGGCTACTGAATTGTGGCCAAAGGAGGGACCTCGAAAGACAATGGCGGCGGAGCTCCAATGGTGATGGTCGCCGAAGAGGAAGACGATGAACCGATAGTGGAGGAGCCAAAGGAGGAAAATCACCCGGGGCTTGAGCGTGAGAATGCAGACGTTGATGCGACTAAAGAGGTGAGTGTAAAGGGGGTAAAATCTCTGTCGTAGGTGTTTTAGTTTATGCTTTTCGTTCAAGCTATTTAGTAGTTAATTTATGAGTTTGCGCGATATGTGTGTGAGGCACCCCACCGCTTGTAAGGGTGGAGGCACGCGTTGTGCTATGTATGGATGTATGATTGTAATAGTTGGTTGATTGTAAGATGAACCCCCGGTTGATTGGGTCACTACTGGACGGTGAGACATAACGCAGTAGTTGACAGGCATGGACTGGACGACGAGACGAAATGTAGTGCCATTGCCGAGTTTGGTTATGCATCCGGAAGGCGAGAAGTAACGCGGTTGGCATACTAGGGTAGGGACAACGGACGACGAGACGTAATGCGGTGGTCCCTAGTGTTGGTGCCTATGGATTAAGAATATAAGTAAGAAAATTCTAAAGATAAGATAAGAGTAGAGATCTCTTATAGATTATTTGATAACAAAGTATGAAGGATGAAAGCAAGAACGACTTTTGTCTAAGCCAAGAACCCTAATAACGTGTTTTAGTAAGGATGATTATTTAAGAGCAGAAAGCGAGAATGGCTTTCGTGCTAGGAAGGAAACTCTAATAACGTGTTAGTTGGAAGTTTGCTTAAGGCAAAGACCTTAGGAAGTAACGACGAGACTGACCCCTTCTCACTCACCAGGTCGAGGAAGGGTTAGCAGAGGCGGATATCGAGATGAGGCAAGGCGAGGCGAGTAGCTGCACCAGCATTGATGATAAGTCAAGAAACTCGTGAAGAGTCAAAGCTAAAATAGTTTAATTTTTTTGTTAAATGGTTAGGAGTGTAAACTGGACATAATGAGTTCATTCATTTTAAGTATTGGGATTTTCATTTGCCCAAGTGTTCAGTCTTTTTGTTCGAAATTCTTAAACATTGTCGGTTTATTTATTTTAAAAAGTTGTTTGGGTTGCTCTGGAGTAACTGGTTTGTGGTTTGAGTTATGGTTTGGTTTTCAAAAAGGATCGGGTCGTTACAGCCATGTAAACTAGTCTATTTATCTTTAGGTTCTCTTCTTACTCCTCCTCGTCATGTTCAAACCAATACTTGCGTACCTTAGCCTCAATTCTGTTTGGCATTTGTTGTATCTGCTCATCCATATCATTCTTCAATGTTGTTATCACTTCAAAAATATCAACAATGGCCTTGAAGAATGTATGTGCAGTCACATATGATGTTCCTGATACAAGGTAGATATAACCGTATAAGTTGTAACTCATGATTATTCACTTTAAGATAAGATAAATTAGCAAAAGGAATGGATTTGAAAATTTGATATTCACATACCCGAAACACGAAGGGTTAGATCATAAAAGAACTTTAGATACTTCATTGGTCGTGTGATAGTGCACCAATATTCTTTGCTTGGTAGACCCTTCTCTGAATCCACATAATCTTGAAAAGAAGCACCATTTGGACTTGAATGCATGAAGTTAAACACAACCTCGAACCTTTCTGCAGATTCCAACATCAAATAGGTGGAGTTCCACCTAGTTGGAACATCCAAAGATACTAGTTTTCTCTCATCCATTTCAAGAAATGAAATAGTAGATTTGAACTTTTCACTCCGAGCTGGTGACGACTTCACCCATTTCACACAATCATGAACCCTCTCTACAGCAAGTCCAACTTCCTTCAGCCCATCAGAAACAACCAAATTTATTATGTGTGCCACACATCGAAATTGTAGGAACTTCCCATTCATCAAATCTGATCCCCACTCTTTCAACTTTGTTCTCATGCACTCAGCAAAGACATCATTATCAGTGGCATTGTCCATTGTAATGCTAAACAAATTCTGCACCTTCCATTCTTCTAGACATGCTGCCAACTTTTCTGCAATATCTTTTCCTGTGTGACTAGTGATAGGAACAAAACTAATTATCCTCTTCTGCAACATCCAATCACTCCCAATAAAATGGGCATTCACACACATAAAATTCTGATGGTTGTTAGAAGTCCAACTATCTGTGGTAATTGAAATCCTTCCTTTGCACTTAATCTTGAAAAACTCAGTTAACAACTCTTTCTTCTCAAGAAATACGATGTAAACATCTTCCCTGATTGTTTGTCTTCTAGGTATCACAAACAAAGGTTGTGTTACAGTCATAAATCTCTTAAACCCTTCACGCTCAGCGAATCTAAATGGAAGCTCATCCAATATTATCATGATAGCTAATGCAGTCCTAGCTTTCTTTTGATCAAACTTCCATGGAGTAAGAGAGCCTACCTCACCATCCCCAGGTTGGTAGTTCAATAATGACTGACCATCAGCTTCTTTCCTCTTCCTCTCGCATGCCAAGTGATGAGTTTTCAAGCCACTAGTCCCATTGTTGGTCGAATGTGCTTTGATCAATGCACCACATTGTTTGCATTTGCCATTTGGGTAGCCGTCCACCAAAACATGATGAAAATAAGCCCACCACTTTGATGTCTTCTTCCTTCCTCCTCTCTTATTCACATTTTCCTTTGGCTCACCATCTGCAGTAGGTGCTGGATTTATGGTAGCCACAGGGGTTGGATTTTCCACACTTGTGGTAGGTGCTGGATTTCCAGCACTTGCTTCAGTTGTGGATGGAGAACGATACACATTAGTCCTAGTAACACCAGTAGAAGGTGTTTTTTTCGAAGTGCCGCCTTTTTTAGAAGTGGAACGAGGGGGAAGGGATCCACACTTCGAATTACCTCCTCCACGAGAACGACCACGAGAGGGTTTTGTCCTACAAGCATAAACAATTCACAATTACCAAATGCTCCAAACTAGCAAAAGACATATGGTCAAACTCAAGCTCAAGCAATTAGGTCGGCACTAAAATCTAATTCATCTAAATTATAATTCACCACCAAAAGGGGTATGATACAACTTACAAGTATGCTACTATTTTGCTTCACAATTCGCTAAAATCAATATAATCTAATTCACAAAATCTTTTTTAATTTACCTAAGTCAATTTGCTTTACATTTCACTAAACTCTAATTCATCAAAGTCAAGACTCAAGACTAACATTGTTGAATGTTGATGGCTTGATGGCTGATGTTGCTTCTTGTTCATGTTGATTGTTGAGACTTGAGAGTTGGCTGTTGTTATATCATCGAGAAAGAGCCCAAGCACTCCCACTCTGCCCGCTACTCTTGAGCTCTTATTGAGGGCTGGGTGGCGGCTGCTATTACCTTCGTCCATTCACCAAAATCAACAAAAGGAAATTAGCAAATCAGAGTTAGCAAATCAGTAGGGGGAGGGAATCATCATCCAAGGTGGCTGGGAAATGGGAATCATCACCTGAGAATGGGGAAGAAATTATGGCCGAAAGAAATCGCCGCCACCAGCTGCTCTGCGCCTCTGCCCTCGAACTCAGCGGCGGAATTGAACCATGGGGAGGGTTCAAGAAGCGGCGGCCGACGGCGGAGCTCTCTCCATCGGGGATGGGGACTACTGCTGGTGAAGGGAAGAGAAGAGGAAGACATGGGCAGAGCTCTGGACGGGCTTCGACTTTCGCCTTTCGGGCTTGAGAGAAGCGGCGGCCGGTGGCCGCTAGTTGGTGAAGAGAAGAGAACGACGAAGTGTGGTCTGGAGCGCCGCGCCGCGGCGTGCTGGCTGCTGGGTTTCGCCTCGGGATTGAGAGAGTAAGAGGAGACGCTGAGATGAGGCGGAGCGCGGCGTACAGCGATGTCAATTTCATTTAGGGTTTACAAATGGCCCCAATTCCGCTATGCTGTTAATTAATTTTTTTTGTGATTCGGTATCCGGTATACCAATTTACCGTCGGTATATGACTGATCGGTATCCGGTATACCGTTTGGCCAAGAAGTGCAGCCGAATACCGATGGTAACCGGTTCGGTACCTGGTTATACCGAATACCGGTTTACCAAATAGCAGCCCTATTGCTAACCATAGGGGAGCGCAATAAGTGAATCGAGTTCACTAACTTGATCAATTGGCTAAGGGGCTACTAGCCAAGCTACCTAGGTGACTCTCTTAGCCAATCGGCCAAGGAACACAAGTCAAGCTACCTAGGTAACTCTCTTAGCCAATCGTCTAAGGGTTGCCAAGGCTTCACCCTCGAATCAAAGTTCGGACTGCTAAATCGAAACCAACACAAAGTGCTTAAACGTAGTAAGAGGTGTTCCCTAATTTGTCCTAGGTAGGTGGCTCAATTATGCCAAGAAACTCCATCTTTCGAAAGCCTCTTAACAAGAACAGAGTTTCCCTCTACCTAGTTCAAATTGGAAAAGTAGTTGGAAATGGAAAACACAACATCCATGAAAATATCTCAATACTTGCATTCAAACACAACCATACACAAATCATTCAATTCATACAAACTTCACATGTTCTTAGTTAGGGTTCACAAACACCCAAGTAGGACTACTCCATGCTAGGTAGAAGGAATACACAAAGGAGATAAGAGAAAATCATCTTGGAGATGAATGCTTTCTTCCTTTTATGTGGAGATCAACTTTGAAGGTGAAAATTCCCAAAACCTTGAGCTTGGATGAAACCCTAGCCTCCTTCCTCTTCCTTGCACGTCACTTTCTCTCTCTATTAGTCTTCAACAAGAAGAAGTTATCTCACTAGGCTCTCCCCCTCTCTTCCTTCATCTCAACTCTCTTTATATACCCAGATCGAAGGCATTTCACGATCCCAGTTCATGGCCATGAACATTGGCTAGGGACCGTGATCTCCACAAAAGTGCACCATTTTACTTATGCACTTTACGCTCCAAGGCGAGGGTTAACGGTCCAGCGACTGTGAACCAGTCGAGTGAGGTTCGCAAAACCCTGTAGAACCATTGCCCTTCACCGTCGGGGCGTGATCTTCACGCTCTTGGCGGCCGTGAACTCATGGCTTCCATCGTGATCTGCACTGTCCTCTCCTTTTGGCCCATTTCGCTACTTTTTGTCAACATTTCATTCCCGGGGTTGATTTATCTACTAGGGTCTGAAACATAGCAAAACAAAGCACAACGTAGCGTAAAGCCAAACCCAATTGGGTGAAATTGCCTTAAACATCTAAGGAAAAAGGGGGTAAAATGTATGAATTTTGACTTGAATTAGAGCACTGGCAGGCTGTGAAGATGATCTTCCTTTACCTTAAGGGTACATCTGATGTGGGGATTAGCTTTGGAAGTGGTACGGAGTTCTTAGTGGCTGGGTATTCAGATTCTGACTATGTTGGAGATGTTGACACTAGATGATCGATGACCGGTTATGTATTCAATCTTTGGAGTTCTGTAGTGAGCTGGAAGGCAACTCTATAGTCGACAGTGACACTTTTTACTACTAAAGCATAGTACATGGCGTTGACAGAAACTCCTAAGGAGGGAATCTGGTTGAAGGGACTGGTTGGTGAACTGGGTCTACACCATGATCAGGAAGTGGTGTATTACGACAGTTTGAGTGTAATATGCTTGGCCAAGGATCAATTCCACCATGAGAGGACTAAGCACATCGACGTGAGGTAGCATTTCTTGAGGATAGAGAAGAGGATTAAGGTGAAGAAGGTTGGCACCGTGGATAATCCTGCTCACATGTTCACGAAGCCAGTTTCACACGGCAAGTTCCAACACTGCTTGGACTTGATGAATGTCTTGAGTGGGTGAATCCTCCCTAAGGGGCATTGATGGCAGGAGGATAGAAGGATCAGAGTACATTAGAGATTTCTGAGGAAGAGGAATAGAGGATTCAAGTCAAAGTGGAGATTTGTTGATGTAACTAGAATCAGACTATCAGCCGGTACGACTAGAAGTCACAGGGGGTCTCGCTAACCCATGGTGTATGGGCTCAATTTTATTTGGATTCGGGTTCTGGGCCTGGTTGTAAACGCTTTTCCTTTACCATATTGGATTAGGGTTAGACCTAGAAGAAGTACTATAAATACTTCTCATACTCCTCTATAATCTGTATCTCCTCGAAGTATAGTTAAACTGACTCTCTCCTTCCCATGGACTAGCTAACACACATTGTGTTAGTGAACCACGTAAATCGTGTGCCGTGTGTGTTTGTGCTTTCGTATTCTTGCTTTGTCGAATCCTCCTATTTCTCAATTCGCAGAAAACAGTCGTGACATGCTAGTACTTGAGTGAATGAATGTTTGGAATGTGCTAGTCAAACCCCAATTTGGTTGCTATTGTTGGAATGTTAGAAATTTTGGATCTTGCTTTCTTCAGTTAAGATCGTGGTCTAAAAGTTCAAATTTGTGACCGTGAACTAAGTGCATAGACCGAGGAATTATTCCTTCACAAAATTTCACGGCCTAGATAGAATTTCACAGTCGCTAACCGGTCTGCACAGGCCGCGATCTTTCATTCTTCACACAAGTTTGCACCCTGGAACGTGAGTTCGAACCCGTTCTCTAGGGCGTAGCCCCAAACTAGTCCGTGAACACAAAAGGGTATATCACTGGCAGAACCTCCAATTATCACATTCCGCCCAAATTTTTCACTTCCAAACCCCATCTTTTTTCAACCCCTCACCCCACCCCCCCTTAACCATTTTCACCAAACTTCCCAAATTTTAAATTTTACCGATTCTTTGAGTCTTGTTTTTTTGTTGTTGTTGAAAGGATTGAGTCTTATTTGAGTATTTAAAAATTTATCATGCCTTTAAGCAATTTAAGGTAAGAGTCCAACAATTCTTTGTTACTTTCTTTCATAACTCTACATTAGTTGGGATGAAAATGTGCTTAAATATAGAGGTGAATTTGACCATTTTAGGAGTAGAGCATGACTTGATTTGTGCAATTGGGTCAATAATATATTCATGAAATTGTGGATGTGAGTTTGGAGGTCTTGATGTGCTTAAATTGTATGAGTTTAAGTCGTTTGAAAGTGCGCCCACCAAGTGCTCGACAAAATGTCCAAACCACATAAAACTTGTTTTATGTGATCCATTGCTTGTGAATTGAACTTGATGATGAGTTTTCAATGACCTACGATTGAATTTTGAATCCTTGATAATAAGTTTTCAACTTCGGTTCATTCTTGAAAATTTGCTTTCCTACACTTTTTGAAGCCAAAGCACAGTGTAAGTATAAACAAACAAAACATAAGTTTGTGGTTGTGCGCTCAATTTTGATTAGCAAAAATTGAATACTAAATGCATCAAAGACTAGTACCTCTACTATGGTGTTACGTTGGTGTTAGGAGAAAATTGAGATTCATTTATTCCAATCCATGTAGTCATGTAGGTTTGAGTGCTTCGGATTTCTAGAGAAGATTTTACATGCTCGCGACCATTTAGCAACATGGCTTTTTTTACAAAATATAATCATTATATTGATTGAGCCAAAAGATCGTTACACCCTGGAACTTAACCAGGACCAGAATGCAAAAGAATGACATGAAGTCGGGTACAAAGAGAGGGCTTTTCTAGCCACTAAATGGGCTACCCTATTACTATGCCGACCTACATATCGCACACTAAAACCAGGATGAGCACCCAATAACCTGCAAACGTCCTCCAAAATGACCCCCAAGCGACTATCTCTGGTATCAGCTTTTTGAATTTTTTCGATGATAACCTTGGCATCCCCGTGGAATCTAACCTCCACAAAGCCATTCGCAAGGCACCAAAGAATAGCCTCTCGAAGAGCAAGGAGCTCGACAAGCACGGGGTCATCAATATCCACAAACTGAACCCCAGTTGCCATAAGGAGTTGACCACCTGGCGTCAGAATAACCATACCCCTCGCGGAATGAAACCCACAACGCGTAGCCCCATCCCACAAGCAAATGGCTGAGCTCGGATCTCCGCCATTACTCAAACCAATCTGTGGGATTGGTGGCCAGCCCCCAATGGTTATCGGCAAGCGGCACCATTCCTGATACCACCGATGGAATTGGCACATCAGCATAGGGATTCCAAATTGCATGCCCTCAAAGACAACCCAGTTACGGGATCACCATATCCGCCAAAGGAGTGCAACAACCGCCATAAAGACCGGGAGTTGATGAATAAGTTTCATTAGCCGTTTGAAGAATAAAGGAAAGGTATGACGTGGCAGGCCTTGTCCTAGATACTCAAGGCCCGCATGATCGCATAAATCACGAGCCACAGGGCAATCCAGGAACAAGTGCTGCATTGTCTCCACCTCTGCCCAACAAACTAGACATCTAGGAAGGATTGGGACCTTTTTCTCAATAAGGGCCTCCGTCATGGGTAGGACTCGGTGGAAGACTTGCCACATAAATACTTTCAATTTTGGGGGAATATTGGAATCTCACATTCGAATCCAGTTTGGCCTATCCATCCAGCTTGCCATAGACCGCCAACACCCTGTCTGCCTACTCAAAAGCACCGCAATATGATAGGCGTACTTAACAGAGAAAACCCCATCCATCGTATCATGCCAAACTAGCATGTCCTCCACATCCCGACGAGGATGAGGGATTGCTTTAATAGCACGAGCTGTGGCAAGGTCAAATCATTGTTCAAGCTAGGTAATCGACTACCTACATTCCTCCTGGAAGATCACCTCAACCACTCGCGGTTCCCCAACACTAGGCAACACCAGGGTTATACACAGGTAGGCGAGGTTGAATATGAGGGATCCAACTGGAATTGAGCCACGAGGCTGACCGGCCATTTCCAATTTTCCACCGAAGGCCCTGAGCTAGCAATTCCCGGCCATAAAGAATACTCTGCCAACCCAGGAAGGGCGTGATCACGCAATAGCCAAAAGGAACTCCCCATTTGGAAAATATTTGCCCTTATACGCCTGGGCTAGGAGGGAATGAGGTTCCGATAAGATCCGCCTCCCAATTTTAGCCAACAGGGCCTGATTGAAATGCTCAAAGCGGCGAGAGCCCATCCCACCATCATGCTTACTCTGGCACATGTTCCGCCACGACACACACTGTATCCGGGAACGACCCTCCTCAACACCCCCACCAAAACCGAACAATGTGCTTGTCCAAGAGACAACAGAGAGAGAGGGAGCTTGAGATAAGACATGACATGTAGTGGTAATGCCAAAGCGACAGATTTAATCAGCGTCTCTTCGCAACCCATGACAAAGTCCTCTGTTTCCATCCCTAGAGGCGAGCCAGTAGCTTCTCCTCTAAGAACCGGAATGTGGCCATTTTGGACTGGGATATCAAAGTGGGAGACCAAGGTACTTGTCCTAGACCCCCACCGCCCCAACCCTAAGCCCATGTTTACTTACATTTATGTTTCCGAAAATAACATTTTGTCATTTTCGAAAACAGCAGGAAGTTGCCACTTTCTGTTTTCATAGTTGGAAACGAATATAAAACAAAATGAAAAGTAGACTAGTTTTCTCGTTTCGGTTGCCAAATTTATGACATGAAAACAAAAAACAGGAAACAAAAATTAAAGTGAACAGTGCCTAAGATTTGGGCAAGAAAATCCTGGTCCGGAGTATAAATGTTTTTACTGAAGCACACCGCAGATTTGGAAAGATTAACCCTCTGACCACTGAGTTCCTCATACTCGTTTAAGACCTCCAAAAAATTCTCACATTCTTGCAGAGAACCTCTTAGTAATAAATAGGAGTCGTCCGCAAAGAACAGGTGTTAGATACGCGGAGCCCTAGGGGCAACTTTAACTTCGTCTAGCCTCCCACTGGAGATACCCTTATGAATGAGAGCCACGAAACCTTCCGTACAAAGCACAAATAGCAAGGGGGACAAAGGATCCCCTTGCCGGAGACCCCTCGTGGATTTGAACAAACTCGCTAGCATGCTATTCATGAGAACCGAGAAGGACGCCGATCGGAGGCACTCATGGATCCATCCAATCCAAGTTGAACTAAATCCCATTTTCATCAAAACCGCTATGATAAAAAGCCATTCGACCCTATCAGCCTTTTCCATGCCAACCTTTAGAGCCATGTACATTTTCTTCCCTTTGGTTTTGATTTTCAAATAATGCATTAGCTCATGCCCTAGTAGGACATTCTCCACAATTTGTCGTTCACGAATGAAGGAATTTTGTCCCTTAGAGATGATATGAGGCAGGATCCGGGCAAGCCGCTCCACCATGATTTTGTTGATGATTTTATACACAAATTTGCATAAACTGGTCGACCTGAGTTGCCTCATGTCCTTAACATTATCCACCTTGGGGATTAATGTCAGCCAAGTGTGATTGAAGCTACGAAGCATCCTGCTAGTTTGGAAAAACGAGCAGACCGCCTCCACCACCTAATCCCCCACATCCCAAAAGGATTTGAAAAATTTCTCGATGAATCCATCAGATCCCGGGGCATGTTTGGACCCCATAGAGAAAAACTTTTTTCTGAATTCACAAGGAAATACCTCCTCCATGAGAGCAACATTCATTTCCCTAGTAACATTAGAGGGTATCGGAACGTGAGAGATGGCCCAATACCTCTCACGTTCCATGCAAGAAGCCTCATTTATCCGGCTGGGGCCACTCGAGGCTGGCTTCCTCCACCTTTTCACCATCAGTCTTTTCCTCAACGAACTGTTTTTCTGGCGTAGTGGTCTCAACTATTTCCCCTTCCACCTCATCAAACGGGCGCTTTCTTCCACCAACTTCTAGGTCCAGTAAGTTAGAACCATACTCATTCAGCTTCGCAATCATTGCAGCTTCACTGTCCTGTCACCTTGACTCATCCTCGTCATCCAGAAAAGAACTCTTATCCACGTAATGCCTGTTCCCCTTATAAGTGAGCAGCATCCCAGTTTCAAAGGCCTTTACAACCTAGCGAACACGACTAGTCGAGGCCTTGCGCCTCGCCGCCTGCACACACGAGGGCATACGACTTCTTATTCAAAGCGCAAACCCTCATCCTCCGAGAGAGTGACTTCTGAATCCTCCGGCTCTGTATCACCAAGCATCGAAGCATCCAAGCCATGGGACTCCGGAGAAATGGTTTTATCCAAACCCATGTCAACACCTCCATCCCACTTAGCCTGCTCCGACCTTTCCTCTTTCACCCGAGAAGAACTAGCTCGAGTTTTGGGTTTGTGCACTACCACAGCCTTACCCAGCTTTCCCTCTTTAACCGTTCGACGTCGAGGGGGATTAGGGTCATAGCGGCTTCACTGGTTGAGCATTCTCCATAGGAGGATTCTCACTGTGACATCAATGTCACTTCCTGTGGGAGCCAGCCAAGGAGGTGCTCTCGGAGGAAAATCCTTGTCTAAATCATCGTCAAGAACAAGCTTGCAGCGTCGGACTCGTTCCCAGATGATTCCATCATCCTCCTCAACACAAGCTTGTCTCTTCCTTCTCAGACTAGTTATTTCCTTTCCAGGTTGGTGCTTGCAACCATCCTCCTTTATTGACCCACACCGAGCTCGACTTGCCGCAAAATGTGGGAAACTCATCCTCCACTTCATAAATTCGTCTCCCCATCTTTCTTGTGGACATATGGGTCCCAAATTTCTCCTTTCGTGTAGGGGGGTCGAAGGTACACTAGCGATACGAGTGTCCTACCCTCCCACATTGAAAGTAGAATGTTGGGAGATATTCATACTTCGGGTTAACCCAGAAGCAGTCAATCTCATCACTTGTTGCCATCAGCTGAGAGCGCAAAGGTTGGGTGAAATCGATCACCACTCGAACCTTCACGAAGCACTCATCTGTGTCCTTCAATATCCCATGTCGAAAATCTCGGGATATACCGAATAACCCTCCCCGGAATCCCATCTCCTTCTCTGCCTCATTTCTGCTCGTCGGCGACATTATCAAGCTTATCATTGACGATGTCTGGAGGAGCCTATCAAGGCGGATGGAGCCCTGATCACCACCGTCGGGAAAGGGTGGGTGGACTGGATAACTCACATCCTCATCATCTAACTCCGTCGAAGAGGGAAGGGCAAACCTCCACATCTCTTTCTTCGACATTCTGAACCTCTTACGATTGGTATTATCACCATCATTTTGGTCAGCCAGGATAAAACCTAGCTTCCGCTTTCCGGACCGATATTACGATCGGTCTTTAGGGAAAGCTTGGAAACGACCCTTGCACCGTTTGCGGTTACGGGTCGCCGTCTCGCCTCCCTAATAATCTCCGGCAACCTTAACTTGGCTCCAGACAAGCCTGAGCTCATCGCCTTGATTATTCAGGCTAACGAGTAGGAGCGTTGGGATGACTGAGACTAGGATCCAGCCCCCCAAACAACAACAGTGGAGAAGTCGGCCAGGCAGTCCGTGCAGCAGCACCTGGAGAGAGGAGAGAGCACAAACCATTTTCCCCCCTTTACGTGATCGGTGATATTGAGAGAGGGACAGAGAATTCTGAAGGTTGGGTGTTCCTCGATTTTGCAAAATTTGCTTTTCTTCTATTTAGCAACATTGCTAAGGGAAAGCAAGTACAAAAATCTTAACTAAAACTAACAATGTAAATCAAGTGCAGAGTTTCTGACCTATGAGTTGATCGTCGTGATTGTAAAATTCATTTGTTAGCTATAACTGAGTGACATAAAAATCTCACTATAATAATACATGGAATAAATAAAACTAGCAAATTCGCTATCAAAATATAATTTGGGCCAATTAAATTTTTTTGACCAACAGATTGGATACAAACTAGTGTGCGAACAAGAGTTTGATCTAGTGATACTACCACTAATATTCAATATGAAGGTATTAGGTCCGAATTATTTTAATAGAACTGCAACCATTTTTTTTTATAATTGTGACTCAATATTATTAAATTATAGAAATAAAAGTTTAACACAAGAAGGAGAAAACATCTAAGATTGCAAAACAAATGTCACTAATGGAATCCAGGCGATCCAATCCAATCTGGATCTCACTGCTAGAACTTGGAAGAAATATATAAAGTGGAAGGAAAGCCCGTTCTAAATAATTGACTGCTCTTCTGATTGGGCTGGGTGCCCACATTTCCATGTGAAAACAAAACACAGACCGCCCACCCCACCCATATTTGAAAAGATTAACGAGCAAAAGAAGCTCCAAAGCTCTGTTCTCCCCGGATCCAGTCGCCCCTCTGTCTCTGTCACTTTTGTGTATATAAACAGGGGCCTTACTTCAACTTTAGCTTCAAACACCTCACTTTCCCTCTTTCTCTCTCTCTCTCTCGATCGTCCTTTCTCAGTAGAACCACAGCAGAAAAAGGGAAGAAAACCTCCTTTTATCTATTTCTCTCGTAACTAACTCTATCATCCCTCTCTCCCATATGGGTTTCTTGACATTGGTCGCTGCTCTGCTACTATTAGCAGCAGAAACAAGTGGGAGCTTCTTGACGAGCAGCAGTGACAGTGAGGGTACATTTCCCAGAAACAGCAGCAGCGGGAGAAGAGAAGCATTAGGTGTGAGCAAATGCAATTGGTTCCAAGGGAAATGGGTCTACGATTCTTCATACCCTCTCTACGACCCTGCCAAATGTCCATTCCTAGATCCAGAGTTCGACTGCCTCAAATTCGGCCGACCCGACAAGAATTACGTCAAGTACAGATGGCAGCCCTTCGCCTGCAATCTCCCCAGGTAGTACCAATTATCGCTTAGTAAATTTGGTTTCGTTTTGATTTGGTTTAGCTGCTGTAATGACGAAACAAGTGGGTGGTGACTTTCTTAGGTTTAATGGGTTGAACTTGCTGGAGAAATGGAGAGGGAAGAAGATAATGTTCGTGGGGGACTCGCTGAGCTTGAACCAGTGGCAGTCTCTGGCCTGTATGATTCATTCCTGGGTCCCCAACTCCAGATACTCCCTCGTCAGGACTGAAGCCCTGTCTTCTGTGACCTTCCTGGTAATGGCTATCACTTCAATTTCCACCTCCCTCCTTTCTTTACTATTTCACGGAAGAAAGAAGTTGAATTGTTGTACGTTCTACATTAAATTCCCACCGCCGTGGCATGTCTACCCAGCTCTACTCTGTTTCTGGAAGTGGCCGACTATTTATTTTTGCATTTTGGTTGGTTTTGTTTCGTAGTTCTATTATATTTATAGTTTTACATACACACACAACTATGTCCAGTTTGCCATAATGTTTCTTCTTTTTTCTTCACATTTGATGGTTACTTAGTCCACAAAATACGGAAGCGATTTCAAATCCATACATCTGGATATGGCAATGCGTCGATTTATTGGGCAATTTGATCTAATTGTCATATGCCTTATATGAATATTTGTTTGGACCTAAATAAATGCATAAGCATTTTTAATATTTTTGTGTTTGAATTGAATCATACTTGAGTAATTCATTTGGATTAGATCAAAATAAATTTAGGTAACTGTATGTCTAAAAAAAAATTATCAAACGTTTCATCAACTTGAATTCTTATTTAGAATTTATTTTAAAGAGACTTTTACGTTCAGAAATTTCAAAAGCTCAATCAACCCTCGTCAAGATTGATGTTTATTTATAAAGCTTCTTTTATGGTAATTTTAATTTTATATAATCATATTGTTTGGTCCCACGTTGGTATGGCGCACCAATGTGTGGGTTGTAGCATTGAAAAGTTGGGGGGAGGGAGCGTGATTGGTGGTTTCTCTTTTGTTTTAGTTTTTCCGTCTTTCCTTTTTGACGACTGTTTTCGTTAAGTCTAAGATCTGAACTGATCTGCCACAAACAATAATCTTAGTTCATTTTTAATTAATTAATTGGTATATAAAGTAATAGTTTTAATTAGTTTTGGACCTGATTGATATTAATTAATCAACGGAATGGACTACTGTCTTCTCAAGGAACAGTCAATTTTGGCCTTTAGTTTGTTGTGCTTGTGTTGAGATATTGCATTTCATGCGTGGAAAAACTTTGTGGGATGGCCACTATTTTTCGCCAAGTTGAGTGTTGCATTGCAGCTTACTACTAGCAAGTGGCTGTTTGCTGTTTTGGCTCTTTCTACCAAAATTCTCCTCCAACGCCCGCTGTCCAAATAGTCAACACACTTTGGACTTTAATTGTGTGTATATATAATTGGAACGGCATATTATGAACCTCAAGAAATAAAATTATTTATAATTGAAACGGGAAATAAATTATCTAGCATTAAGGATCTCGCGCTCTATAGCTGAAGTGCTGAGCCTTTTATCGTCTCCTTTTCTCATAGTATATTAAGTAAAATAAATTTGAAAAATGAATGTTTTGGCATAACTTGAATTTTTGAAAAAACCATGGATATATGAGGGTTTTAAATTCATTATGGGTTCGATAAACAAAATTGTTTGTTTGATGGATTTCATGATAGATTTTTTAATTAAATTTGTATGTATGAAGTGTAATTTACCTTTATTGCCCTCAACGATATAAGAAGAGAAAAAAAAAATAAAGTGTAGGTTAGTAAAAAACGATGAAATTAAAAATTCATAATCAAATCTCACCTAAAGAGTTGGGATTTTTTTAAGTCTGTGGGGTCCATGGAATTGGACTCAAAGTTCAAAAGTCCCACGAATTTGTTACATCTAAAATACTTGAAGCAAACAATGAATTTAGACAAAATCAATCATGAGTCCAAATTAATCACCAAATCTATCAAGCAAACATCCCCAAGTAAGAAACAAGGCTAGAGACCTAGAGTAGATCTATATATGGTGGCAATTAGTTGTACTATGTTGCCGTCAGCAACAGGTCCGGGCATCATTAAGATTTTCCAAAATTGATGGATGAGTTCAAAATGAGTAGGTAGGGATTCAGGCAAGAAAGGTTGCCGTTTAAGGAACAAAGAGGAGCCAGATTTGTGGAACACAATCCCTTTACTCCACAACCCAAAACAAAACAAGAATGCCTTCTTGCCTTGTCCGATCCTGAGCGGCGTCCACTAGTTGCTTTGCTATTGGCACGTTGCTTTGCTTTGGCAATGGTGGTAAGTAGGTAGAGGCAATCAAACCCTTTGTCCACTGAGCCACATGTCTGTGTCCGGGAGGGACCATGGTTTATTTTTATTGTCCCTTCTTCTTTGTTTGGTGAAGAGTGAAGACTTTTTCTTTCCTTCACACTTGCCATTTGTTTGGCAAATCAACATCATTATGATTTTCTCCTTTTAGATTTACCATTTGTGGAGGAGGGTAGAAATGAAAACAATTTGAACCTCCTTGGTATTACTCGATCGGATTTGTAATAGTGTGGGTATTACGCGACCTGCAGTAGTGTGAGGCTGACTATGGGTATCTACCTGTTCTTGGGCGGAGCAGGTATGGGTATTGAGATACCCGTCCCGCCCCACCAGTTTGCCATCACTACAGGAGGGTAAGAATATTTTCTGCCACAGAGGATAACAGATTATGAACCTTATTATTCTTACGGTGAAGTTTAGGGTGCGGATTTAGTTAATTATGTCTAAATTTTTTTTATTCAATCAAATATAACTGCCTATTTTTCTTTCGTTTAGAAATTCGGATTTAACCGCCATTCGTTATTACCCATTTCTTATGTGCAATTTTTTTGAAATTTGAGTTAAAAATGAAGGTGGAACATACCGTCACAAGTTGTAACCGAGTGATACTATAAAAAAATTGGAATTTATCAAAAATGAATGTAATTTTGTGAATAAATATGAACACTTGCCATTTGTGCAGACATTTTAATTATTCAAGTTAAAACAAAAAAGATACAAATCAATTACAAAATATATATAAAAAAATAAATTCTTTTTATAATATCAACTCTTAGATCTGATCTTACTCAAGACCTAGAGATCAAATATAATTATTCACAAATACGTAATTAAAGATTTTCTTAACTCTTATTTTAAGCAGCAAATATAACTTTATATCAGAAATATTACCATCATAGAGTACTAATTGACTACATGTTCGACTGACAAAGGTTTCCCAAAGCTACTAACAATGTTATTGGACATAAGTTAAGCAATGATTTGTCTGTGATGGAATGGATCTGAAGTTGAAAAATGTCACTTTGTCAGCTTTAGTCGGTATGGAGTAATTATATACACTTGATGACTTCCCTGGTGTTGGTATGGTAGGTAGTAAGGTAGCTAGTTCGTTTGCTACTTTGCTTTCTCTTTTGTTTTATTTATATTTATTTGAAATGATTGCTATCAATCAATGGAACTATATGGCCGTGTGTGTTCTGTATCCTTTCCCTCTGCATTTTGTAATTGTGGACATTGCTTCGAAAACTAGACAAAGAATCATTGCGATAATCTTCAATAATTATGATGCAAATGATAACAGGAGTATGGAGTGAGGATATTGCTGTACAGAACGCCATACCTGGTGGACATCGTCAACGACAGGAAAGCAGGACGAGTCCTCAAACTGGACTCCATCGCCAACGGCAACGCCTGGCGCGGAATGGACGTCCTCATCTTCAACTCCTGGCACTGGTGGACTCACACAGGCAGAACTCAGCCGTATACCCCCTCCCCTCACCCAGCTCCATTAATACATCATTTTCTGCTACTCATTTCGTTATGTTAAAATCGAGCACTGATTCAAATCCGAATGCAGATGGGATTACATACAAGACGGCAACAAGCTGTACAAGGACATGAACAGGCTAGTGGCGTACTACAAAGGGCTCACGACGTGGGGCAGATGGGTGGATCGCAACGTCGATCCACGGAGGACTAAAGTCTTCTTCCAGGACATCTCCCCAACGCATTACGACGGCAGGGAGTGGAACCAGCCGTCGCAGACGTGTTCAGGGCAGACCCAGCCCTTCTTTGGGGTAAGGTACCCTGCTGGGATGCCTCCCGCGTGGGCGGTGGTGAACAAGGTGTTCAGCAGGATCAAGATCAGGCCAGTGTACCTTATGGACGTCACCGGTATGTCGTTGTACAGGAAGGATGCTCACCCTGGTTCCTACAGCGGACTCCACTCGGGCACCGATTGTAGCCATTGGTGCCTTCCTGGCCTCCCTGATACCTGGAACCTAATCCTCTACTCAGCTTACATCAGTTAGCTACGACTCCGATTCGGAATTAGAGTCTTACACTACCAAAGGTGACTATAGGAATCATTGCTTCGATGATTATAGGAATCGACTGAGTGTATTGTTGTTCTTTTCCAAGATTTTTTTTGGGTTTGGGTTTTGTATGTTCTTGTGGCAAGTATGGAATAAGGTGGGTTTGGTGGAGGGGGGGTCAATTCATATCATATGTGTGCATATTCATCTGGTGTAAATTTTCATTGCATTGTTTGAGGGAAAACATTGAATTTTTCCTTGGTAGTTGAAAGAAATGGAAATCTCCTTTGTGAAATAAAGCTTGTGCTGCATTTCAGAAATTCTATGCAGTTCCTTCCTTGCTTTTGCAATATGTCAACGGGTTAGTTGCCCACTTGCCATACATTACCTAATTTCCAGATTCACCTGCACAACGCCTTTCAAGGGCATGCTATAGAAGGGGAATTGGCTTATTGACGAGATCAGTATAACAATAACTGGGCACGGCTTACACGGAGCATTAGCAGCTCCGAGTGAAACATTGTAGCAAATGGGCAAAACCAAGAGCGAAGATGGAGGCCACAAGCGCTGTCCAGGCACCGCATTCGTCTATGCCTCCCCTAGAGTTGGAGACAACAACTTCCATCCCAAGTCGCTGGAGAATCTGCATCCAGATACTATTCCGGTATTACCCAACGACAGGATACACCGATCACCCTGAAGCCAAACTACCTCAAGCTAACCAGGAGGTACATCTGCATGCGAGGAGTTGCTGGATTGCAAGGGACCAAAGGTGGCTTTTGGCTAGACGTTGGGAGGAGAAGATTTCGAGCAAAGTTAGAAACAGAGATGCGAGTCTTACAAAGGGCTCAGTTGGGATAGATAACAACGGAATAAAACATAACGATGCAGAAAGCATCTGCTTTCCTAATACAAGATAGCAAACTTGCTCGACTTTTTTATCAGATTCTTATTCGCTTGTGAAGGTAAGGCACAAGCACAGAATAATTATGCACACACGCTTCACAGAAACCCTGTAATGTAATTCCAGGAAATCAGCTTTGTCTATGTACCTCATTGAAGATCATGCGAACAATCATTAGACAGGACACGCTTGAAAATAACCTCATATCAAATCTAGTCTAGGGATGACCAGAGTAGAAAGAAAAGATGAAATGAGACGGAAATCCGAAAGCTAAAGGAATAATAACAACAGCAGGCAAGTTGATTGGGGATCGAAGGGTGATCAGCAAGGTATCTGAGAAGTGAACCACTCCATTACATGAATCGGAGCTTTAATCAACTCCAGAGCCAATTCCACAATGATCGTCACGCACAAGCAACACGGGCATATACATGTCAACAGCAACCTGCACCAAAAATTATTGCTTCCCCTCTTGATTAAATTGGTCAAACAGTTAACGATCAAAACTTTTTGAAGTCAGATGATTGCCTATGGGGAAAAAAACCTCAAACACAGAACGAATCGAACTCAAGAAGCCTGTAGTACGCGGTAAATCAGAGGTAGGAAGGAAGGAAGAGGGAGAAAAGTGCGAAAGGGGAAAGAACATGACTAACCCGACAATCCAGATGATGACTCCGACTATGGAGATGAGGAGAGAAAGGAAGGCAAAGGGGAGGCCTAAGAGGAAGCCCAAAGGCCTGCAATCTCCATCGCAGCACATATCTTTTCAATGCTTTCTTCTGTCCTGGGAATTGAGTTCTGAAAGACTTTCTCTCCGGTTTTGACTTTCAGGCCTGTTTCTGGCTGGAAACTTCCTTCCTCCTTTCGCCTCCTCTCCTTTGTGCTTCTTTATAATTTGCTGTTATGGACCTTTTGGGTAGTGTGACAGTAATAATGGAGATGGCGTATATTCTGGGAAGTGGTTAGTACTTAGTTTCGGGATGAGGATGACGCGCTAAGCTACGCCCCCGAAATTGCCAGCAAAGAAGAGAGAGAGATTGGGAGAGTTTTAATTTTTATAGGCAAAATACGCTTGTTTGTGAAAGATATAGCTAAAATTTTTATAGTTGTTTGACAAATCTAGCCATTTTTGTTACAAACATTAACGGTGTTAGAGATTCCGTTAGTTAGGTCAATGGCACGCTAACTAGGATACCAAATTGACGCACACGTCAGCGACAACTCAGCTTCACTTGCCACGTAGATGCCACCTCATAATTTACTTTAATATATTTTAGACAAAAAACACTGCGTTGGTTATCTGTTTTGTGAGCGGGGCGGTCAGCTCGGGATCGCATTCCTCTGGTGGGATGGTGGTACAGGATCAAGGGGGTTTACCCCTTTTTGCAAGGTATTGTTTATGCAGGTTTGACGGATCTCTATTTGGCTGAATTAATGGTGTTCCGGGATGTGATACGATGGTGCTCTTTGAAGGGTTTTACGGAGGTTGCTTTATTGGGAGATGTGCAACGGTTGTTTTCAAAATCATGGGGCATGAGGTTCGGAATGGACGCGGAGGGGCAATTCTTGAAGAGATTTCTCAGTTGCGTCAAATGTTTACAAAGTTCTATGTCAACTATTGGTGAAGGCAAAACAATCGAGCGGCTCATGTTGTAGCCAATAAAAGCTCTTTCTTTGTTTTCTATTGGTGTGGTTGGTTTTGATTTTAGGTCGTGGTTTATGTTCGGGTTGTAAACAGTAGTACCTATATTTCTTGGTAATTCAAGTGAGCTTGTGGCAAAAAAAAACACTTTCATAGCAACAATTGTCACGTTTGTGACAGTTACAGCCACAACTTTTGAGAAATTGGAGGGGAAAATGCAATACTAGTCGTCGCCGAAGCCTTCTTCTTCACGGTTGTCGTCACCTTCTTTCCATGGTCCATGAAATCGTATCGGACACCGTACCGGAAAAGTTAGTAGTAGGGTATTTTACGATAAAATCGTGGTTGAACCGTAGTTCAACCGTTAATATCGTTAAATACCGCCTATCGGGTTAGCCTCCGATACTGGTATTTTGTGGTTGAACCGCCGGTACGGTACGGTTTAATGGTCCTTGCTTCTTTCTTGCCATTTTTCTGTGACTCCGCCAAGCGTTTTAGGCCTTCTCCTTCAATCTAGTGATTGTGGATCTGAATCGGCGATTTGGGAAATAAGGCCTCCTTCTCCGGTCATATTGTTAAGTAACACCGTTAAAGGGATGGACGAAAGTGGATAGTTTGTGTATTTCAAAAGTTGTGGTTATAACAATCACAAACGTAAAAGTTGTGGCTATAACTGTCACAAACGTGAAAGTTGTGGCTACGAAAGTGTATTTCGCTTTTTTTTTTGTTAATCTACGTGGATCGCCAACTCCTCATTTCTGTCAATCCCATCATATTGTTGACACCATTAAAAGGATGGACGAAAGTGGCTATTTTGTGTATTTTGAAAGTTGTGGTTGTAACTGTCACAAAAATTGTGACTATAAAAGTATATTAAACCTTATTTTTTATTATTAAGTGTTGATTGGGGGGAGTTTGGTTGGATACTCTGCCCGCTGCCACATTATGTTGGTGCCACTAGATGAAGTCTCTTCTCTTTTACATCCATGTCTAGTGAGGTTGAAGGAGGAGGGGTTATAGCCCCTCAAATATGAAATATGTGTATGCAATATTACTAACAAATTTAGTTTGAGTTGTCAATTCTGGCCTTGCATGTACTACTTCGGTATACGTCCTTAATGTCCTTTATATTACTTGTATTTACTTTGTCATTGAGTCCGCAAAGGAGCGGGTTGTGACTATTCTCGCTTAATTCAAAAGGATTTCTTTGACATAAAAAAAAAGTAAAAAACAATATACACCAAACTACAGCAGCTGTATCGTTGGATGTTACCATTTTTCCCATTTTTTAGAAGAGTTGATAAAGATCGTCCTAACAATTACTAATGATCGTCCTAAAAAACAACAAAGTTACACTTTTAACCTTTTAACATCTTTACCTTTCCTTTAGCAAACAAACACCACCTTCACTTAGAAAACAAAAAACACTCATTCTCCCACACTCTCGAATTCATCATCGACATTTGGAAGCCGAAATCGTCGAGGTAAAAATCAAGTTTAAAAAAAACCAAAAAATCTCAACCGAATGTGATTTTTGGTTGGTCCATGATTCAACCGAAATTCGGTTTCGGTTGAACCATGGACCAATCGAAAATCACATTCGGTAGAGCCATGGATGAACCGAAAATCTGCTTCATTTGTGCCATGGGTGAAACGAAATTTTGTTTCGGTTGGTCCACGGTGGCACCGAACTTGTCCTTCGGTTACGCCATGGTGAAACCGAAAATTGGGTTAGGTTTAGCCATGGTGGAACCGAAAATTTGCTTCTGTTGGTGGCTTTTGGGTTTTTTAAGTTTATATCAAATATTTCTATTTTTTTGTTATGATTTATAGTTTGGTCTATAAGATTGTTTATTGAATTTTAGTTTATATTATTTTTAAAATTTATGAGCCTAATTATTTGTGAAATTGAATGTTGTTGTATACAAAATTAAGATTAGATGTATAATACGCAATAAAAAAATTCTAGAATGTGATTAATATGATTCTTACATTAGATGTATAGTATGTAAATAATAGAGAATGCTAAATTTTGTCATGTTAAATGTTGGATTTTGCTTAGGAGAATATAGAGAATGCTAAATTATTTGTGATAATTGTTAAATTAAATGTAGTCGTTAGATTTTCTATTATTGTGGAGTCCTACTTATATCATGAGATCTAACATTGTAGGATATTGATGATTACGGAGGGGATGACAAAGATTACACCTCAGAATTCGTCAATGGAGTAAAATACGATACAGATTTGATTGCATATGCAGCAGCTACTGAGATTGCCAAGGGTTTTGGGTTTTATTTGGTGAAGGCATCAAATAAAAAAAATCCAAGTGAAGATAGTAGGCGACGATACTTGAAGTGCACTCATGGTAGGAAGAAAATTCGAAGGCTCCTGATTCTGATCCGGCTAAGGAAAGGAGGCCTCTTACTTCTTCTGGAGAGTTGAGGTCTGAATTTCAGATCAAGATTGAGCGGTTAGATGATGGATATTGGTTGATACTAGCAGTTGCTAATAGAAAGAATCCTGGTGCTAATTTGGGTTTTCACAATCATCCGCTGGAGCTATTTCCGAATGGATCAAGTAAGAGGAATGTTTTGACCGAAGATGATAAGCAATACATCAGACAACTGAGATTAGCCGGTGTCGCCCCAAGGAATATCCACAAGGCAGTGAACGAGAGAAAAGGGGAGCATGGAAAGGTGAACAAAAGACAGATTTCTAACGCATTGTATAAGATAAGAAAAGAAGAGCTTGGTCAGAGGACGGCCTTACAGTACACTTTTCAAGATGCTCGGGAGAAGGGTTACTATGTGCAGTATGTGGATGACCGTAACGTGCTTACACACTTGTTCCTAGCCCACCCTGAGTCAATATTGATGTTGTGAGCTTGGCACCATGTCATTGTGATAGATGCAACATACAAGACCAACAAGTATGAGTTTCCATGGGTTGAGATTGTTGGCATGACACCGGTGGGATTGAACTTTGTCATTGCATATGCGCTAGTGTATGACGAGACAAAAGAGTCGTACCAGTGGCTTCTCACGCATCTGCAACATTTGCTTGGCCCTATCACTCCAGATGTATTTGTTAGTGACAAAGCAGGAGGATTGGTTGAGACCGTGGGGGTAATGTTTTCCATCATCGACTCATATACTATGCCTTTGGCATGTAGACAGGAATGTGAGAGCACGGTGTCTAACAGAGGTGAGGAGGACGTCTCATTGTGGGATAGATGCAGCCCAACCGACAGTGGATATGATCATGGCGTCTTGGAAAAGGATTGTACATGCCGGCAGTGAGGAAGGCATGAATAGAGCTTTAGACAGTTTCAGGCGTAGTTGGGGAGTACAGTATCCACGTCTTTGGAGGTACTGGTCAGATGAGTGGTTACCAAACAAGCACATGTGGGCAATATGTTATACAAACCAAGTGCGACATTTGGGTAATACAAGCTCAAATCGGGTTGAATCTGCTCATTCATCCTTCAAGAAGTGGCTTCAATAAGCAACTGGTGCAATCGACACGGTTAGTCTCTTAATAAATTTTCATTTATGTCTTCTTTAGAAGTTTTACTTAATCTAGTATCCTAATTTTCTTTCTTTGTTTGTAGGTTTATAAGAAGAACCATGATTACATTGAGGCTCAACATCTTCAAATCCAAAAGCTTCTAGAGGATTCTAGATTAAATAAGATGTTACTAGCTGACGGAAGACCATTTCGGGAGTTGCATACAAACGTCACTCTACAGGCTATGAGGTTGATGATCATTGAGGTATCAGTGGAAGGAGCAAGTTGTACATGTACGTTTCCTGCTATCTTTGGTCTCCCATGTAGATGTGCAATGCAGTTAGCACGTTTTGAAAAGCAGGACATTGCCCCATATGAGGTGTTAGCTTTTTGGACCATTATGAACTATCGTGAACCTCCTACTCGGGCAGAGTGGGATGACGATAGTCTATACCATCATGATGTCTTACAAGGTCTAGTACAGGAGGTTCTTGATAGGAGAGATGAGACCATTCGAGGGGCTATTGGCCTACTTCGGAGTCATCTTCATCCTGAAAATGATGGCATTGATGAGCCGCATGGGGGGCAGCCCCGACCCGGTCGCCTGAGGACATCCACCATGCGAAACCTTTCTCACTTCGAGCATGTGGAGAGGAGACGAGGGAATAGAAGTTTGATACCTTCGACCACAACACCGGACAATGACCAGAGGACAGGTAGGTTATACTTTTTTGGGAAATTTATGTGCAATTGTGTAGAATATGATGTATAACTAACTTATTTTTGTAAATGATATTAGGTGGTATCCCTGATGCACACACCAACTTCGAGTCCACAAATACGAATGGGACGGAGCCGGATACTCATAATGATACAGGTTAGAAGTAGTGTCCCTATTTTAGATGATTAGATGTTGTATACCTCTTGTATTAATTCATTGTGTTGTGTATTTTGGGACAGATGGTGCCCCTTGGAGGGTTATCAGAACTCCCAATACTGGTTGGCGGAGTTACCCGTGGTTGTATTGTTTGGAAACATACGTGCAACCATACATTCGTGGTTGGTTCAACCCAGAACCGGATGGACATTGCGGATTTCGAGCAATATCACAAGCACTTACCGGGTCCCAAAACAATTGGTTGCAGATGAGACGCGAGGTTGTAGAAGAGCTTGAAGCCCGACCTGAGCTTTACAAACCATACTACGATAGAATTTCCGACGGAATAGATAATGGGCTTCGGCGTTGCAGGTGGACTCAAGATCGTGGTTGTGGCGTTACCCACTGGATGGATAATGTGGAGCTTTTCGTCTTTGGCACATTGCATTCATGGGTAATTGCTGTCTATAGTCAAGGCAGTCGTTATACCGTGCTACCTGTGATTGCCCCACCAGGAGTAACAAGACCACGTGGGATCGTATCACTACATTTTACGGGATGTCATTGGGTGCGTCTTGACTTTCGACCTGGTCAAGTGCCATTTCCTCCGATTAATGGGCTTTGGCCTATTTATCATGATCCTAGTGTCCATGGTTGGGACCAATTCTTCTCACAAGAACGCCAATTTTATGACAGTTTAAACCCAGCCGGTTGATGGTTAGATGTAGTTGTAGTTATTGTATTTGATGCAACTCTTGATTTACTATTTTAGAAATGCAAAAGAAACAAAGTCCAATCATCAGAAAATTCCAAAAGTTAGATCATCCACGGGCAAAGACAAACTAGCAATTCCAAATAAAAATAAACAAACTAGCAATTCCAAATAAAAATAAAGTACAAGGATAACAATCTAGAAATGCCACACTCCACTAAGGAGTCTTTCCGACTAACCGGTCATACAACTCGTGAACCTCACTCATCATATCGTAGTACTCAGATGCATGCTCCACATAGTGATCCTTGTCCCTCACCGCCAACACAGGACCAAGCTTCTCCACAATCTGCTTACTCAACTGTAAATACACAAAATAATGTCATGAATGGAAGAAAAAAAGCATATTAACAATACATTTGAAATTGAACAATTATGACATAACTAACCTCATCGACTAGCACTGGCCGCTGTAGAGACACTCCACCAGAGTCCGGATTGATGATCCGTGGGTGCGATCGAGTCCGGTACCAGTCCATGTAATCCTCATCGGCCTCAGATGGATACTCTCACAAGTCAGAATCAATCGCTATGTGTAGAAAATGAGACGGCAAGTTGCCCCATAACTGATCCATGCTACCCTCCCAGAAAACGATGTAGGTGCTGCAAGAAGCTGGGCGGTACACATCCTTGGGAACCATCATTGTACGGGGGATAGTCTGTCGGTACCCAAACTGTCGGCGACACCATGCAGGATCATAACCCTCAGCAACGTCAGCAAAGCGAATGACACCAGTATACAAAGAGCGTAGTACCTCCGTGCCAGCATCTCGCCCGTAAGGAGTCCAAGACACATCCTCCCCTGACATTTCATCCAACATCTGTCGATACCGTACCAAGCGCTGTCTAGCATCATCACCACCTGCAAAGCGGTGACACACCCACGAGGAAGCACGCGGAGCATCTGGAGCCAGGAGAATCTGGCTCGGACGGAAGAGTGGAAAGTACTCATATATCCACGCCTGAAGCAGAGTCAAACAACCACAAATACTCTTACTCCCCACTCGTGTGGCCATCCCTAGCTGTCTGTAGAGATAGGCGAGTGCAGCAGCTCCCCAGGCGTAACCGGCCACTCGTCGCTGGTCCTTCAGAAATACATTGATCGCAGGACGGAGGCAATCACGACTCTTATCCACAAAAAGTGTGGATCCCAACAACACAAACAAGTAAGTCTGCACCTCCAGGTCCCTAATCTTCATTTCTCGTCCACGCACCAACAATCCCTCTGCGTGTATACCACCATTAAGGAACCACTTCGACTTCCACTTACCACCAACAGGACCATCCACCGGGACCCGAACTAGATCATGCATGTCTAACTTAAGAACATCTGGATGCGGATCATCTCTCATCAGCTCTCCTCAACTGGAATACGAAGAATGTGATGCACGTCGTGGAGAAGAATCGACATCTCTCCAAATGGCATATGGAAGGTGTTCGTGTCCGGCTGCCATCTCTCCACAAATGTTGTTATCAAAGCTGTATCTAAATGCTGCATCATACACCCTGCCAAGTGGGACAATCCTGTGCCCTCAACCACCTTCTGAGAACCCTCTGAACTCCACTCATATCTCCTCAAAGACTCCACACTAACAGATCTATGACAACAATCCAACAACCCACGATCCTGCGCTGGGGAAGTCCACAATGCAAAGGCAATGTGACCTCCAAAGCTAGGGATCACATCGGGAATCACAGGTCCACCTGAACACATCTGAGACTCCGATGTCAGACGCCACGACATGTCCCCCCTTACTCCCTTCTTCCTCTTCTTACCATCCCCGTCTTCCTCACTACTACGTCTCGCAACGTAGCGTCCATCTAGCCCACGTTGTGGAAAGTGCGAAGAAGCTGTAGAAGATGTCCCAACTCGTCTCTTCTTACCGATGCTTACATCAGATTCAGGTGGGACATCCCCAACCTCATAACAGCCACATCATCATCATCGTCGTCGTCGTCCATAGAAACTGAATCACTCCAATTAGCCTCCCACGGCGTCGCATCCTCAGGAGTAGGGGTGGAGGTAGTACCTCGATTAAGAGATAACTGTCCCATAGTAGGGCGACCGTCGGGACGCCCTATTTCCGCCTTCTTCTTCTTCCACTTAACCTTACGTGGATTTTTTTCTTCATTTTCTTTTCTACCGGTCGCTGTAAGTCTACAAGCACGACCTTCCATTCTTCCTTCCGTTTTTTCTTCCATTCTTTTCTTATTCATGTACGGTTTGCCTATTCCATGTCCAGACATCTTCAAAAAAAAAATTACAATTAATGATAATCAAATGCATTAACATTTTCTGATAATTTTCTCTAATTTTTTTGTAACTTTTGATAATTTATTATTAACATTAATTACAACTTTCTTAGTCTTTTTGTCTAATTTCGACTACTTTTTAATTTTCCCATTATTCTAATATTTTTTTAACATTAATTACAAATTTACAGATTATATTTCTAAATTTTGATACTTTTTAAAAATTTCAGATAATTTTTAATAATTTTTATTACATTATTCACAATATTTTTTCATAATTGAATTCATAAAACTATTCGAATTTAATTTTTATAATAAATTATAAACCGTACAACTTATTTATAATTAACTACAATTATTTCTAATTATTACATAATTTACAATATTTAATACCAATTTTTATTAATTAATTGCATTAAAATTATTTAAAAATCAACCAACCGAAAATTGACTTCGGTTTGACCATGGTCAGACCGAAAATTGACTTCGGTTTGACCATGGCTCAACCGAATGTTGACTTCGGTTTGACCATGGCTTAACCGAATGTTGACTGCGGTTTGACCGAAGGCCAACCGAACGTTGACCTCAATTTGACCGAGGGCCAACCAAACGGCGGCTTCGGTCGATGAAGGGCGAGGCGGACGGACGGACTTACCTTCTTCTCCGGCGAGGACGGACGGCAGGCGACTGGAAGAGGGGCTGACGGCGACGACAACGGCGAGTGGAGGCGCGGCGGACGGCGAGGACTGACGACGACTTGGGAAGCGGCTGACGGCGACAGGGGAGTGGCTGACGGCGACGGGGGAAGTCGGCCGGCGGAGTGTTTGGGGCGGCGTGTCGAACGCCGGCGTGGGGCGGCGGGTCGCCGAGTCGGCAGCCTCTCTGCTGCTGGGGACGGGAAGTGGAGGAAGGGAAGTGATGGGGACGAGAAGGTAGAGGAAGGGGAGTGTTTGGGTAGGGTTTGATTTTTAATTTTAAAAAGGGTAATTAAGTAATTTACATATTAAGTTAGGACGACGATTAGTAATTTTTAGGACGACCTTTAACCCTTCAGTTTTTCCGCAATGGAATATCCTGAGATCCCATAATTTATACACTCGTCCGTTGCTCGAGTAGATCCAACTTCAACAGCATGATCAAGCTCTGGATTTGCACTGCAAAAATCGACGTCACATGCTGCCCACAAACTCAATGAACGTTCATATAACCAAACACAATACACAATGCTGTCACTGAACACATTCACAGTTTCGCCTTCCCCACTGCCAAACAATGTGAAGGATAAAAGCAAAGTTAGTAACCCACGTTGGATGAAGCCAAAAGGAAAGGAACTACATCATTCTCCAATCACTGTCTCCACAATACAATGCAGACACGATTCTTCCCATGGACATCCAGTACATATCACAGCCATGATTTTGCTACCCGCAAAAGCAATATGAACTACAAGTGCATGAATTGCAAACTAATTCTTTTTATGTAGGCATCAAAGAATCCTGAATGTGCCAAGTCACAACTAAGGGAAGCAGCAGTAGTTAGGCATGTACAATGTGATATATCATCATCAGAAACAACTCATCTCGCATCTAATCAATCACCACAATTTGGCTACTACATATTATACAATTCTCTCACAAGACAAAATAAGGTACTTGTGGACTAAAGAAATCGGACATCACAGCAGTCAGTGAGAAGCAGACCCACTATCCAGTGATGGCAGAACTGTTGGCACTTCCGAGCCTGTACACCAAATGCAGATCTCTACCGAGAACGACGGCCTGAAGCGCACCACATCATTTGAATTGGGTGCCTGTCACCTACTCCTAAACCTCTTGACATCCAACTGCAGCAGAAAATTGAACTGAACATTCAGAAACTTCTGAAGCACCTCAAATCAAATGATTGCTTCAAACCTATCCCTATATCTAAGCCATTTTCCAATAAGCTGCAAAGTATGATATGTTGGAAAGATACCAGTAGTCCAGTACCATTTCGAATCACCTTTAGCAATTAGATTTCGTAAATTTTTCAAATTCCAGTATTAAGAGTCAATTAAAGATAAAGGCCAGTCCAGATCTAACCAGGAAAACCTGACATCGAAAACTCACATAAAAGAAGAAACTTAAATTATGAAATTCAGCACATCACAATCAAGAGAGAATGACAAATTCTGTATGAACCCAGCTTGAAAAAATTATTACACCAAGTTCTGACTCTTACATTCATGGTCCTAGAACATAAATGATCTACCAACAGAAAAATACAAGACAAACTTTGTAGCTTGTATTCTCAGCAAGTAATAAGTATTGACGAAATTACTCAGATCTAATATACAACATGTGCCAGAGGCCTATAGAAGGATGATAAAAGCCCACCTGAACTACTCATACCAAGAGTTAGCGCCCTATATCAGATCCAGATGCCGAGGAGCTGTCACTGTCAGAGTCTGCAACAAATATAATAATTGATGAGAAATGTGATTGAAGAGAGCATCACAGATGAATATATTAAACAATATTTGCATGTGAACAGCCAAAAAACAAAACAAATAAACACTGCAGTACCACTAGATGAAGAACCAGAACCACTGCTGGAACTGCTCGAGCTACTTGACCGACTTCCATTATCTGCTTGTCTGTCCACTTGTGCAGGAGATAAATTTGAAATATTTCTTTCACCTGCAATCATGAGTTGAAGATTAGTACACAGTGAGAAAAAGGAAGAACAACCAAGTCACTAACAATCAGCACAATCCAAAAACTTCACCTTCATTGGCTTCTTTAGGCGGATCAGTAGCAGATGAAAGAAGGGCCTGCTAAGAAGAACCAATGACAGCAAACATACAATCATTTCATCCTTTTGGCAACAGAACAATTTTACTTTCATGAAGTATTGAATGAGATTTTACCTTCTGCTGGACATTTCGCTCCACTTCTGTTCTAACCTGCATAGCCAGTTCAGCTTTTCTCTTATTCTTGCTTAGACTCTTTTTGTAGTTGGTCACAAACCGGTCAAGTTCCCACAGAGTCTCCGCATCAACACTATCGATATCCACTTCAATCTCATCGTCACGTTGTGAAAGTGCTGAATTTCGCTTCTTAATTATTTGTACAATATTGTCCAGCTTATCTGAAGGCAGGCTCTGAAGATTCGTACTAAGCTTCTGCTTCTCCTCATATGTCATATCCCTCTTGTGTGGATCCTTTGCCTTGGGCTTTTTTGGAGCAGGGGTCCTACCTGATGGTGTAATACCAATAGGTCTCTGTCTTATGTCGACGGAAGGATAAGTCATCGATTCTGAACGATCCAACATCCTTCTCATATCAAGAGAAGGCAACGATAGTGAAGGAACCTTACGTGAGGTAGGTGTTGGAAAACCCATATCATAAGGGGCAAGTCTTGTCTCTCGATCATAATCCTCCTTCACAACAGCCCACCTTTCCTCAAACATAGTAAGCAACTGTTCAGCCATTATGTGAACATCCTGACCTTTTGGGTTGTACGTCAAGGCATTATGAAATGTAAGTCTCACATCTTCTGCAAACTCTTCTGGTGACTTGTACCAATTCTTATTTAGTCTTGCCTTAACTGTTCCCAAATCCATAGGGTGTTTGATAATGGTGTAGTAATCATGCAATCGAAGACCCTCCACATCAACTGGAGCATTAAACACCCATCCATGCTTATGCTTCATCAATCTCTCAAGTAAAGAAGTGCAATTCCTGAATATTTTGGTGTTTGACCCAAATCGAATCTTGCTACTTGATTTTGACTTCTTGTTACTCTCAGCTGGGGGGAACTTATCTTTTGCAAGCAAAAAATCAGAGTTCCTGTAAAATTGATTAGCTTTTGGTGTTCTCTTTTCTTTCTCGACATTCTCAGCTGCACCCTGACTATTCTCCAGCACAGATACACTAAGCTGATGCAAAGGCCGAGTCTGCCTTGGCGTTGGAGTAGTAATAGAAGTAGTGACCTCTCGAGGAACACCTACAGATCCAACATCTGAATTCACCCTTGTCAATCTACTATCAATGACACTATGTCTCAAAGGAAGCGAACTGCTGATAGTGGCAACACCAAACTGACCTTGTTTGGCCTCAATTCTCTTCACCAACATCTTCACAGTATTGAGTTCATTCTCAAGCTTCCTCCTGATCTGTCTCATCTCCAGCTTGGAAACCGAAGCTAAATTTATCTTTGTTCTGCTCTCGAGTCCTTCCTTCCCTGCACCATTTCCTGCTGGCTCTTCCTCTCTCCGTAAACTAGCTGCTGCATCAACGTGCTGCCTCTGGAGGCTGGAGGAGTCATCAGAGGTCACATCCAAACGTAAGGGAGGAGGCATCGGGGGTGGCTCCGTAATCTCTGGTTGTTTCTGTTGCCCTGCCAGCTCCTCTGCCAGCTCGCCTTGTCGGTCCTGTTGCTCTGGCTGTTTTGGCTTCCCTGGCTGCTCTTGCACCTGATCCCCCAGTTGCTCTTGCTCTTGCCCGAGTCCTCGCAGTTGGTGTTGCTCCTGGGGTGGCTGCTGCGGGTGTTGTTCATTTTGTTGCGGCGGCTGAGCAGAATCCGTGACTTCTGACACTAAGACTTGTGGTTGAGGAACTTCAATTGAGTCTCCATCCGGTGGCTGAGCAGAATCTGTGTATTCTATCACTGAAGCTTGAGGTTCAGAAACTCTAATAGATTCACTGTCCCGGGACTGCTGAGCAGAACCTATGTCTACCGACACTAAGGCTTGAGGTTCATCAACTTTATTAGATTCATTGTCCTCGGGAGGGATAGAACCTGTGTCTTCTGACCGTAAGGGCTGCGTTTCAAAAACTTCGACCGAGGCAGCAACCTGTGGCTTGGCAGAATCTGCATCTTCTGAGACTAAGGCTTGCGCTTCAGAAGCTTGACTCGAGTTATCATCGTGTGGCTGTGGCTGTGGTTGAGCAGAACCTTTGTCTTCTAATACCAAGTCTAATGGTTCGGAAGCTTTGACGGAGACATCATCAGCAGCCTTGTCCTTGTTACTTCCGTTCTTATCGATCGTAGCTGAAGTCGGTGCAGTCACAGTGGTTGTACCAGCAGTGGTTAGGGTGGCGCCGTTGGCTGTCGTTCCCTTCGTGTTGCTGTTGTTGGCTAAGCTATTCCGTAGACCCTTGAAGGATTTTCTTGTATAGACTTTGCTCTCTGAGTACCTTGGCTTCTCTTTAGGTCCATCATTTCCTACTCCTTCCCCTCCAACAGCAGACCCTGAAGCCATACATGTAACTCCAAAACCCTAACTAACCACTTCCTTACTTTCTCTCTCTGTCTTCGCTTCGAAAAATAAAATTGGCACACGAAACTAGGGTTTTTCTGCCAAACTACCTACAGCCACCGCAAAAACCCTAATTGTCGTCCGAACACCGAATTCAATCCGGCAGAAACGCTAGAGGACCACAAAATCGGCAAAAAGACTGAAGCTTTTCCCCAGACCTACAACCGCCTATATCTTCCTGACCAAACACGAAACCCTACACCAACAGAAAGAGAAGGACGGAGGAAGAGACAGGTTGATGAAAAAGAGCGAAGGGGACAAGGAGCGAACAGATCTGATATTCGAAGAACAGTTGGGGTTTCAAGCTCCTTTACCTCTTCCACGACGTTCAGATCCTCTTCTTCCGCGCCATCTCTTTCTTTCGCAACTTTTTCACTTTCTCTCTCTAAGGAGGAAAAAAAAGTTTCTCTCCCTAGCAAACGACACTCCCTCCGATTCTCTTTCTCTCTCTCCCGAGCGCTCAGTTTCTCAATTTCTCTCTCTAGAACTACTCCCCCTCTTCTTTGCCGTCTCAAACTTGAACCCTTATCTTACAGGTGGACGGTGCGTATGTGTTCGTGCGTGAAAGAGTCGTACTGAGCAAGTATCGAGAGCGTCAACCAGATCAGCTGCGTCACGCGTTTTGTTTTGAGCGTAAATCCACAGCCTAATAAGATTGCGCAAACGCTATGTCGAATTGCGGGCGCGAGTGTGGAAGATATGGAGAATCAAGTGGCGCGGAGTTTGGATTGGTAATATTAAAGATGTTGCCCAGTTGTGGGAAATGCGCGTGTGTGCCAGACTTAGGTGTCAATTCGGGTCGGGTTCGGTTACCCAAACCAAAACCTGAAAAAAAAACTCGAAAATCCGAAACCGAAAATCACTAAAACCGAATCCGATAAGGACTTGCGAGTTCGGGTTCGGTTAAATCAAAATCGAAACCCGAAAACCCGAACGTCTAAAAATACGGGCTGAGTTCTATTCATTAGAGGTTTTTAGCCGGAACCCGAAAAACCGATAAGCAAAATTGAACCCGAAACCCGAAACGAACCCAAACCCGAAAAATCGAAAATGTATATAATCGGGTCAGTTTCGGGTAAACCCGAAAAATCAAACCCGAATTGACACCCCTAGCCAGACTCCTAGACACTAAACGCCCGGCCAAAATTTTATCCATCATTGGGTCCGATTTTTATAAATAAATAAATAAATTTGAGTAATTTATATGATTTATTATATTAAAAAAATACTTGTAATAGTTTTTCAATCAAACACTCAATTGTTTTTTTTTCAAAAGTATTTCTCTAAAACCTCAAACTATAAACTTCTTTTGTCAAAGTCACAATGTGGTCAAACTAGCCCATTGTGTAGTAGTCACCCTATAAAATGTTTGTGAACTTGGTTTAGTATGTTGGTCCAATAGAGATGTAATGGTTCGATCGCTTTAAACTCATTTCGCTTGGATATAAAAAAAATTATTATATTATTCGTACATTCAAAAATTATAACAATTTTGATATGCGTAATATCATATACATTATACCAAAATAATAGAGTGTACTTGGATCCAACTTATAGTGAAAATTCAAACGAAATCATATAATATCAACATTCGAATATTCAACTTAGAATTCCAAAGGTAGGGTTAGGCAAATGGGAAAACCGGAAAAGGGAATTCGCAAACCAAGGGGAAAATGACATGGTGTGACCTTCCTCCGGGAACCTTGTTGCGGATCAATACGCGGGTGTGTGACATCCATTTTCGTCATCGGGTTCGGGTCAATTTGGGCGGGTTGACAACCGTGCTATATAATCATTTACAAACCACTCTATTCTTTGTGCAAAGTAGTGTTTTGAGACCTAGGCCGGATCTATCGGTTCAACATATACAACTGATAACCGATCACATTCCTGGGCCGTCCATGTACTTGACTGCTAGACATGGCAATTTCCATCTGATCTGTGTTACCCAACGTGTTTGGCTTGTTCTGGAGCAGGTAGGCGGGGCAGGACGGGCATAGATACTCTCATCGACCTACCCTAACCCGCCAATTTCTCAACCCGTTTTGCCTAAATTACATATAATTTTACTCAAATTACTTAGGATTTTACTTTTATTACTTCATATTATAGCTATAATGAAATTGTAAATAGCCGAGAACCTCAATCTTGAATAATTTAATACATTTATCATACTATTGTTTGTTTCTTAGTTTTTAATGAAAAAATGAATATTTCTAATATTTTTCTTTTATATTGCATATGCATATGGGTCTACTTGCTCCTACCCGTGTTCCATAATAAATTACACGATCTGCCACAAAGCGGGTATAGATATCGAGATACACATCCTGTACTTACCCTATTGTCATTCCTAAGTAGAAAGAAAGGATAAAAGCGCAGAATACTAATGGGCTCGGAGTATGAGAAGGATTGGCCAGAGTTGACCCTACAAAAAGAAGCACCTGAATTAAAAATAGATTGGGTTTCGTAGTCTCAATGACATAGGTGGAGCGAAAATTACAAGCCGTGGACTCAGATACCATAAAGGAAAATTTGGAAGGTAGAAGATATCCCAGAAGTCAACAACTTGGAATGTGAAACAAGGAAAAAACATAAGTTGGTTGCTTGAGGAATCACGCCAGAATCAGAGGTGGATGTTGCAAGGATGAGTGGAAGAAATTTCAGTGAGGGTTGCGGTTCTAAAATTAGTTAGGAGTTGTTGCTCATAACACAGTAGAAGGCCTTGCTATTTACAGAGATGAGGGGGTGAATTTCAACTTGAAGTCACTATCCTTCCATCATATTGATGGGATAATAAAGTGTGAGCAAAACGATGTAGAATGGAGATTTATAGGCTATTATGGATGCTCATAGATGGGCAAAAGCATCGGTCGTGGAAAATAAAAAAGACTGTCATTAATGACAAAAATTAGCAAAGGTAGGTCAAATTTGTCACCAAAAAAGATTATTAGGGACGAAATTCCACTTTTGTCAATAAGTTCTGTTTTTGCGACAAAGCATATACCTCATCGGTAAAGACAAAAATCTTAGTTACTAAGTCTACTATCCAGAGGAAAAATTAGGCGACATGGTCATTTGTGATTAATAAAATCAGGTCGTCAATAATTTTTTGTTGTAACATATGTATTTGGGACAAATCCTACACATCGTCGTCGATAAAGACTGAAATCATCTTCACTAAGAAGATCATAACTTGGAGGGAAAATTTGACGCCTTGATTATTTGTAACGTGCAAAATCCTTTCGTCACTAAATTTTTGCCAAAATTTTATGTAGTTACCAAATATTCTTGCATTCTATATTTCACTTAAAAACAAAATATGCTCTTTTTTCTCTGTACTTTCTGCATTCTCTTCAACTTTCGCTTCCTTAATCGCTTCCTCAAGTGGCCATACCAAAACCCTAGATCTAAAATTCCCCATTCAATCACAATCATTTATTTTAGCATTTTTTTATCCCACCCTTCCATTCAAATTCTCCTTCACCAAAACTCCAAACCTCTTCTATATTTTTTTTCAAAGGCCTTTTTCTCTTTTGTTGATTAACCTTTCAATTTCTTCTCCTTTTATCATTGCTCACCAGACAACAGTTCTCTCTTTCCTCCTCTTCTCTTAGGTCGATGCATGTGTTTTCTTGTACTCTTTATAGTGACCAGTAACAAGCGGTTGCAGATCTATATATTGTTTCTCATAGATATATATGGGTAATCTAATATTCAACATAAGATCTATCTTTCTAGAGCTTATTAATTTATTTGTTAGGATCTATCGGCAACGAGGATGCCAAAGGCTATGCTACCGACAGTCTTGGATGGTGATGGTTAAGAGCGATGAACTGCCTAGCTTGCAGCGATTTGCGGTCTTGTAGAGTTTAATCAGGCGTGGTAGAGAAACAACCAAAAGATTTGGCAGTGATTGGGCGGCGGTGGTAGTAGGACGACAACAAAAGGGATAACAAAGAGTATGTATTGCATTATTTTTAATGATTGGTATTGTGGAAAATACAATTATCGCCGAATTTCTATTTTTTTTTCCTAACTATATGTATTTCCCCATTTCTCAATGTATATATAGCACATATCCTACTATATAGTACATAGTAGAGTGCATATCTTTTTGTATATAGCGACAGAAAATTATTTGAATATATATTAGTATTGTGTACATTTTTTTATTGATATCGTATACTCAACTAGACTTGATCTTTCGATTACAATATTAGTGAGAATAGAGAAAATCAAGAGTATTCAAAATAACTTACGTCCTAAAAATGAAAATATTGTAAGATCCGCCAATACGGAAATGTATTAGTGATGGTTTTATAAACTATCATGACGGTTCTTTGTCGTCACAGTCCGGTTCTTCAATTTGGAAAGGCATTAGTGACAACCATATTAATGGTAGAGATGACTCTGAGCCGTCACAAATATCTTTTGGCACGGCTCATCACATCAAAAATTATTTGTGACGCTCATATTTGGAACGGAACGCGATGACAACATGGCGTCACAAAAGTGCATTTGCAATGGAATTTGTGCTTTACTAACGAAATCCTTTGGTCACTAATGACCTTCTTTTTGTAGTAAGCACATAGGGCGACTTGAGTCAGACCATCGAGCAATCATGATGGATACAGAAGGGAAGACTGACAATGGTAGAGATTTAGATATGTTCGAAGTATTTTTACTCCGTGAGGTTTGATTTTACGATGGGTTTTGCCTTGTTTTGGTGTTTTCTAGACTTTGGCAGGTGGAACCAACCCCGGAGTCTAAAGTTGGACGAAAGTGCAAAAAATCAAGTCAAAGGGTGGAAGCAACTGCATATCACGGTTTGGGCTCTGTGTTCACGGTCACTAAGACCGTAAAATGGAGGCGCTACCCGTGAACAGCCAGCCATCCAGAGCAAAAATCACTTTCACTAGACACAAAAGTCAGTTCACGGTCGTAGGATCATGAACTCAGGCCATTGCCCGTGAACTGGACTTAGTGATGCGACACGTTTTGACTTGAGATCACGGTCCGGGCTTTTAGTTCACGGCAGTGAACTAGGACCGTGATCTGAGCCCGATCTGGGTATATAAAGGAGGTTGAGCTGAAGGAAAAAGGGAGAGACCTAGTGTGAGAAACTTCTTCTTCTTCTTCAGATATGTAGAGTGAGAAAGTGACGAACCAAAGAAGAGGAGAAGCTAGGGTTTCCTCCCCTAAAGGAGGATCTCTTCAACACAATAAGCAAGGCTAGCATCTTAGTGATGGTTTTCCTTCTTCTCTCTTGTGTTTTCCCTTCTCCTAGCATGGAGTAGTCTCTTATTTCACTTGGCTGTTTGTAAACCCTAGCTACAATTATGTGAATGCTTGTATAGATTGAATGATTTGTGTGTGGTTGTGTTTAATGTGAATGTGGAGGTATTATTCATGAATGATTGTGTTGTGTGAAAGCCTATCAATCTAATTGCCATTCTAACCTAGGTAGAGAGAAAACCACTTACTTTCTTTGAAAGAGGCTTGAATCATGGGGTTTTCTTACGCAATTCATTGTCTCCTATCTTGGTTAATGCAGGGAAAACCTCTTATTTCGTATTAGCACCTAGGGTTTGGTTGTGGGTGGTCGTCCGA